ATATCTTTTATATATCATCGTTGACCCACTATTCGCATAGAGAGACTAGCCACACTGTACACACAGAAATTGTCTGGTCGAAAAATGTTGCATCAGTTCGATGCATTTGGCGATATGCAAACACGCATAAAAGTTATTAAGCTGCCGCCGGCCGTTGCACAAAAATTGCATCAGACAGGAGCCGTTGTTGTTGTTGTTGCTGTTGTTGTTGTAGCTCCAAAATGCCTCTCCTACTACTTTTACTACTACTACTATTACAACTGCACGCATATATAATAGTGTATGTGTATGGAGAGCAGAGCCCCCAGCTCTGCTAATGCCAATTTATGAAGCGGGCAGTGGGCAGCTAAGGCCGCAAGCTGCATTAAGCTGGCCACAGTGTGGACCCTCACCTGGGTACAGGCAACAAAAAAGGCCATGCATAATTTGATATGCGGCCGTTGCGTAAGCGACAGATGCCGCTACATTGCTACTGACTGCGACGGTTACTGCGACGTCAGCGTTTGCCGGCGGCACCTGAAATTATGTTTGAATTCGTGACGGCTCGCTGCGACGTCTGCCGACGTCTGCGTGGGCGTTGAACGTCTAATCGGCGTCAATTTGTTGACAGCTTTTGCATGTCTGGGAGCAAGGCCGGCGGTGGTCGGACAAATCTTCAGTGAAGCCCACCTCATGACTTGGCTTAACTAACTTGTTGTCTTGGCCAAAACAACAATAGCAACAGCAACAACAACAATAATAAGTAGCTGCAATCGCACCTTCAGCCGAGTCGGATGAGGCAGCACAGTTGGCGCAGGCGCAGCTGGCAGAGTGCTAAAAAATAACGAGAGAGAACGAGAGTGAGAGCGGGAGAGCGAGAGAGAGAGAGAGAGAGCGCTCGCCAAAGGAATTTAGCTCATGGGAGCAAATGTTGCGGCTTTTTGTTGATGTTGTTGTTGTTGTTGTTCTTCTTCTTCTTCTTGATGGCACTTACCACTTGACCTGCAGTCGGCAATTGATGCACATGGCATGCCATAAATGTAAGCTAAGCTTTAACTTATTAAACCAAACAGACACGCACACTCACACACACACACACACATGCACACACGTGTGCCGTGGCACTCCTTAATTCTCAGTTGAACTAACCTTGACCTGGCCTACGTTAAGTGCTTTTATATTAACTACCTTGCAGCTGGCTTCCACTCAATGACATTTCATTTGCTTTAACCTCTAGTGAAATGCTTTGAATTAGCCGCTCTAGTTGAAGTAATTAGCATTAGCCATCGTCATTATGGCCATACTTGGTTGAGCATCGTGTAGGGGCAGTGCAACAGCTCGAAGGCCAAACAATTACAAATTGCAAAGCACTTGAA